CCCCAAAACCCCAAAACCCCAAAACCCCAAAACCCCATGCAACAAATTCTTCACATTTCTGTCAAATTAAAATAAAAATCCCTTGATAAATTTTAATTTATTTGTTTGTGTATATAATATCTTAAAGTTACATAATTGAAAAGTTTAATGGAAAATAAGTTATAGGCTAATTCTACTGCAGCCCCAACTTAACTCAGCTAATCTGCTACTCATGATAATGTATTTTAATCATTTAGAGTTGATTACAGTTATTATAGAATGACAAGAAGTATAATCGCAAGACCAAATGCTAGAAAATAGAAAAAACATTCAGAAAACTGGATTGGTTTGGGTAACCTGTAACTTTAACTTACAAAGGAGATGATACTTACCAGACTAAGTTTGGGGCATCAATATCATTCATTTTAATCATAATCCTGCTTTGTTTTGGAGTTTATAGAGCTAATATTCTTATAAACTAGTATTCTCCATAAACTACTAAAACATCTTTGATTCAAGATTACAGTAATGCAGGGATATTCAGACCTCAAAATTATTTTTTCGATTTCGCATTTTAGTTGAACAACAAAACTTTAGATCCTAACTACGGCTATCTCTAAGTAAACTAAGTCATATACTATTTAAGTGATGAACTATTGGAGGATGGATCACGTAAGAGAAAGAAATAGATATTACCATTAAACTTTGTATTCTGCCAAGAAACACTTTTTAACTATACAAAAAAATAGGAATTACTTGCTCTAGGAATAAATGAGTATTTCTGCTTGCAAGAAGATCAAGATTATAGATTGCAAGGAGGGTACTACTAAGAAATTTATGAATACTTAGAGATTAAATTATTTAAATGCTAAAACAAGACACTTAATGATAGTTGCTACCCAATTGAAATGATTGATGAATACTTCCAAGATGAAGAGCTGAATTTTGCATTTACGAATACATATTTTGATTATAGAAATTCCTCTAATAAGTCAAAAAATAAGGTGTTCATTGATGATTCCTTTTACTTAGAAATAGAATCTACGAGAAATAAAAAAGCTAATTTTTATATCCAAAAATAAGAGGCTAGCTATCAAGATGACTATATACAATTTGGACAGGAAAGAAATGAGCATTTTTTTTAAGTCTAGAATATACAACGTTTTGATGATAATTATTCTCCATAATCTGGAATATTAGCAGCTGTTTACATTCGATTTGACAATAGATATGACATCTATCAAATTAAGAATTACGCCATTCTAGAATTTTTAGGAGATATTGGAGGACTATATGGTGCATTATCTGTTATCGGTATAATTCTTGTAAGTTTCATTAGCTAGCGAATGTTTGTCTCAGATATTCTAAAGAGGATTTATTTGGTAAGGAAAAGTCCTCTAAAGTTAGAGTCTGATGTATAGAGGGAAAAGAGGATTAAAGATCCAAAGAATAAAAAAAATTAAAGAAAGTTTACTATTAGGTAATATTACCGAAATTCCTCTTAAGATGTGAAATAAGAATCAAGCTATCAAGAAAATTCATAATAGACAACTGTAAAAATTGATTGTGAGACTTAATCGTAGGAAATAATATTAAATTAGCAAAATAAAAATGCCAATGAAATAATCTAAGTTCATACTAACTTATAAGCAAGTGCAGATGATTAAATTTTAAAATAATATGAGGAATTAAAAAATTTAAAATTCGATAAAAATGATAAAGATCAGATAAAATAAATTGACAAAATTTTTAGTCCTTTAAATAATGACGATCTAGCTGCATAATAAATAGATTAACTACAACAATTTTAATAAAAATAAATATCACTAAGGCAAATGCTTCATTATTAATCTACTATCTTGGAAAGATAAGATTTAAATTCATTAATTTTGGCAAATGACTAGAAAGTTAAATTGAGAAAGTCAAGATCCACAACTTTTGAAGATTAAAAATTGCCAGACATGCTTATAGATACATCTAAAGACAGAGAATAAAATGTAGCCAAAGAATTAGATTAAAAGACATAACTAACTTCTAAAGATTTAGAAGAAGTGATTAAATCTATTATAAATAGAACAAAATTCAAATACGGGATTTAAAAAATGATTGATTACATTTTCAGATGCATTTGCCTAAGAAGGAAGCAGTCAATTAGAATTGATGAGTAAAATAAAGTTCACTTTCTATTTAAAAAGGGTAAAAAGAAGCTTAAGAAAGAATTAGATGTAATTAAGCTTTTGAAATCATTGAGGAAATTTAAACTTTTGTAACAAGCATTACTTCCTCAAAAAGGTAGAGTGCTCTTGCAATATCAGAGATTTAACTTGATTGAAACAGACTCGTCATCATCAGACTCAGATGATGATAAGAAGTAAATTACCACATTAATGGAAAGCAAAAATCTTTTTATAAGACTCATTATGTATGGAAAAATTAAAAGTATGATGAATCAATTCCTCTAGAATGTTTAACCTCTAGAATATAATCTAATCAAAGGTGTATTTAAGAGGAGATTAAATGATTTTTCTGAAAAAACGAAAGAAGTTGAGCATAAATTAAAGAAAGATGCGCGTAGTCCAAGCAAATTGCTAGTGTTATAATAATATAACTCCAAGAAAATTTAGAATTTTGGTTAAACAATCGAATAGAAAATCAATTAAAGTATGATAGATTAATCTACATTAAAAATGGCTGAAAGAAAAGAAGGAATCCTTAAACAGATTGAATCATTTAAATTTACCAAGAAACCTAACAGTGATTATGAAAAATCAGATTCAGATTCGATGTCACAGCCAGATTATGATGAAAAAAATGAATATGGAGTAGAGGATATACAATTAAATAGAGAATAAGACGAAGAAGAAATCAAAAATAATGATACAACCATAGAATCAGATTTTTAACTTAAAGCTTATCGAATCAATTGATAATGAAAATCTCAAGAAAATTAAATTCAGTAATGATAGAAATCATTAGGAGAAAGCAATAATTTTAACAAAATAAAGAAAAGTTTACAAAAATTTATTTATATTATATTTCTACATTTACAGTAATTATGAAAAATTTATATTGCGGGGTTTTGGGGTTTTGGGGTTTTGGGG